GAGTATCGTTGTTTTAAGCCCTCTCGACTGGAAATCACGTCAAAAAACTCTGATGTCTGTTACCACTAACAAAATGGCAGACAGAAACAATTTCTGTCTAAGGATAAATTGAATTTTTTATTTTCGATATTTTAATTGAATCTTTTTTATTACTAGAGATTCATGAATTGTAAGTGCTGCCGGCCATTGACTTAAGCATTTCTGTCTTCAGATCATTATAGATTATTATTGTAGCTTAAATTAACTTTAGTAAATAGTTGTATGGTTGTTCCATACAACTCTTGTAAGTATAACGCAGACTTTTATATGGGCTCGATATGCATCCTATATGAGTAGGAGATCTAACTGTACTATACTTTTGACTTGAATGATTGCTACTGTATTATTCTATAAATATATATATATATATATATATATATGTATATATATTCTGTATATTTTTTTTTATTTTCACTATATATTCTACATATATGTGAATAAGTAGTCATATATTCCACATTTATTTTTGTCAATATTTTTTAGCATTTAGCGCAAGATGTATCTGTTTTGCAGTTATGTGCATAGCTTCTTACTATATTTACTGCACTATATATTCTATGTATAATATAGTACATATATATAGAAAAAAAAATGTGCTTTTTCAATATATTTTATATCAATATATCAATATCAATATATTTCAGCTTGTAGTGCAAGATGCATCTCTTATGTGAGTTATGTGTATAGATTCTTGTAACTTTTCGCCTATAAAACTATAATGTAATTAAATGAAAAACTATAATAAAATATTTGAATATGGTTCTTTATGAATATTTCTTCAAGTTTTGTTTAAAAACGTTCTACAGATGCACCTTGTAAAATAAATAAAACTCATAAACGCAATCGTAACTTGTTTAAGATTTTGCTCCCATAAAACTCGGCATATACTTAAAAGCTTTGTCTTTCGCAGTTCCAAGCACACAATGAAGAAGCTCTCATATTCCAATGTTGCCAATTAAAAGGTCGTCTTCGGACTCATATTCAGTTTCAGTTGTTGCGGCTTTTTTAAAGTTGCTTTAAATTTATTGTGTCTTTCTTAGTTTTTAGTGTTCAGTTTTATTACCTGAATGAGTTTAATGGCCTCTAAAGATTATATAGCTGCTATTATTGTATTATTGTATTAACATCATCTCTGTACGAGTACCTGTTATTGTTGAGGCTATTACTCGTACTGCAGCTATTGTTGCTGTCTTCGCTGCCAGTGACAACGTAAAGGGCTATACCCCGCATGAAGTGGGCAAGCTGAGATACATTTTTGCCTTACTTTACGAATAATTGTTGTTATGATTTTTTAATGTTCAATTCAAAATTATATTCATGCAATTTCACTTTCATTTCGTTTATGCGAAATACGAACGATTTATTTTTAATTCGATATATTAAACATTTTTTTCATTATTTTTTGCTTCACATTGATTAAGTTTTGCTTTTTTTGTGCAAATATTTTGCAATAAATTTGTGGGAATAGTTGCAATGCAACGATTTAAAATTTTTATTGCAACAAAAATATTATTAAATTTAACTCAAGTGTTATTAAGTTGGCAATAAACTAAAGCAAAAAATTACAAAATATTTAAACCGCAGAAATGAATAATTATTTTTTTCTATTTTTCGATTGAGATATTTGTGTTTTTATGTTGTATCTTTTGGGAATTGAATATTTTGTGCGTTATTCTGACAAAAACTCATATCAAAATCAATACCAAAAATTAATTGAATTACATTCCAAATTTAAATCTAATGTTTACACTATTTGTGTTTAACAGCTCAAAGCCTTAAAAGTGCCAGTGCCAATCGCAATCTCATTTTGATATACAAAATTATGTCTAATAATTTGATATACATATTATGCTGATTATTGCTATCTACGTGTACGCATATGTATCTGATATCTGAATTAGTTCACATATTTGCTTAAAATATTTTTAATTTACTATTTGCTTTGTTATGTATCCGCATTGTTGTTGTCGTTATATAAGTACTGCAGTTATTTTTATTTTTGTCCCAGTTTGAAGTTGAAATTTAATCAGTCAATGCGTAACTTATTGAAATGTAAAAATAACTACATTAGTCCAAAAAATAAATCCATTTAATCGGAGAAGCATGAAATAATTTTCACAGAGTGAAATACGAAGTAATTAAACTGCGAGTATTGCCAGAAATAAGAGCATAAAATTAATCTTCTCTGCTTGTTAAGCTAACAGTTTTTTGTCAGATTAATCAACTTTATAGGCCTTAAAATTCATGGGTTTCTTCAACTTTTAAATAATAAATCTATTTTTTTTATTTATTTTATTATACGTGTATGTCTTTTCTTAGCTTTGCTATGAGAACTCTGCAATGGAAATGTTGTTTCAGATTTTTACAAATTTTACATACAAATTCGCAGTTGAATCTTAAAATATAAAACAAATTTTACACAACCACAAGGTAAGTAGATTGATTTGCATTTCAAATCTGGATTTCATGGGTAAAAGAACTCATATATTTTATAAGTTAAAATATTACAAGATTTCGGTATATATAAAAGAGAAGTATTCACACGAAGGTGATAATGAAGTGTGTTAAATTTGTAAATGGTTATTAGTAGCTTTGGAGATATGCGATAGATAATGTTTGACAAGCTCATGATACTTTTTAAAGTTATAATAAAATTAATTTAATTAGTTCATAAAATTAAGACTACTTTTTTCATGTCATTAAAGCAGAAAATGCTTATACTGTATTGAGACGTAGGTATATTTAAAAAAAATATTTATTAGTATGATTAAGCCTTTATACAAGAAAGAAAAACAGATGACAAAGTTACATAAATAATAGTTTATTGGATAGCCCATGAGAATAACTCTTAACAACAGCATACTGTAGTAGAAACAAAAGTCTTGGGGGTCAAGTGTGACAGTAGCTCGATATCATTACCATTTTTCATAGAAAGTAAAGAAAATAATATACAAAATTAACCAAAGTTCGGCACTTTCTGATTATAACTTTACATAATAATATATACTTTTATAATTAGAATATTGTACTATTGTTTAAGTGTTAATAAGAAGTTTACCTAAAACATCATACCGTTTGCAATAGGACTTTCCTACATATATTTAAAAGATTACTTTATTCAGTTGTGTTTACTGACAGATTAACCTCACCTTTTAAACCCTTTTAATTATTACATATTCTTGAATCTCCCGTCATCTACTAAGTTGAGGAATATATTATTGTGTATATATTTATATAATAAAAGATTATTTATTAAAATTCTGCAATTCGGTTCCAATACAAAACTGAGTTACAAATTTTACACAAATTTTTTGAAGAAACTGAGTCCTCAAATCCCATCTAGGCATTAAATGTACAATAAAATAATACAAAAACTAAGTTCCAAATTTTCAACAAATTATTTTAAGAAATAGAGTTCTCAAATCCTAACAATGTACTACATGCATGATATAATAATACATAAAATCAAATATATAATAAAGAGTACTTAAACTCTAATGAACTGTTTTTTCTACTCTGAGCATATAAGTTCTATTGAACGATAAATAATTGAATTTGAAATTTCAATAATCTTCGACATCACCATCAGACACCCAACCCGTTACAATGCTAAATAATCTATATTAAAAATACATACGATGTCATGTATTTTTTTCTTTTATATCATATAAAAAAAATAATACTGTAACACAGCGCAAAAGAGTTGCATTGCATTATGAAGTGTAGAATTATTTATTGCGCAAATGGTTAGGCTTATACCCAACACATGATGAAGCTACATTGACTGGTTACAATAGTTGACTATATGAAATGGTTATATGGACTATATTAGCCAGCAATTGTAGCTTAATCTAGACCAGTACTATAGAAATATATTGATTAAACTTTATTTTTAAAATTAATAGCTACTGTTGCCAGAAGGATCTTGCCTTTACATCAATTTTCAGCAAATTATTGATTATTTACTAGCAACAATGGATGTACATATGTATAATATATATCTTGTGACTTGATATATTAATGCTTTTGATAATTAATTTATATATTCTTAATCCTCCTATCCTCCTTAATTATTCGTACATATATATTAGCAAGAATGGGTATACACATATATATAAATCCTTTGCCTTGATATATTATTACTTTTGATTAAAATTTAAATATTCTCTTTCCTTCTCTATTATTCATCTACATATGTTAGCTATACAGCCCTGCCTAAGAGAAGCAACTTCAGCTGTTGCAACATTATATTAACCCAAATTTCGCTGCAGGGTATGCCCATGTCAGCAACTGTAAAATATTTTGGTAATTTTAATTCATAAATTTTAACAATGCAATTATAATTATATATTTACCATTTACATTTTTTATTCATTAAAATTATTTATTTAGATATAAGCTTTGTAATTTTTACCCATACCAATTAGCATCGCAAACTGTTATTGGCGTAGTCAGTAATAGGTTTAAAATAAAAACTGTTGGCACATAGTTAATTTATCTTGAAAAATTATAAAATTGCAGATAGATATATTAATTCATTTAATTAATTAAAAAACATTTTTGATGAAACTTTAAATTTTTAAAATATTTTTGTGTTTTGCACATGAAATTAATTTTTGAATTATTCGTAAGACCAACTTTTTTAACTATTTTATCTTTCGCTAATTTTATTTCATCTTGTCACGCATTAAACTCAGTGCGTGTGGCATAAATTAAATTTCCTTAATATCAAATCCAAAGTAAAGAAAAAACAGAAGCCTCGTATTAATTTTCACAATTAACCTTGACCAAATTTTTGCCCTTCTAAACTGTGTTGAATTCATCTGAACATGGTTAAGACATCACAGACTTGCAGTTAAAAGTTAAAATTCTGCTGGCAGTAATTCTTTTTGTTTTTTCTATTGTTTCTGTTGGCTACATTGTGGCTGGTTGTAACTCAACTGTTATTTCCAACTTGTTTTCTATTGGGCATTGTTGTCTTTATTAAACAATAAACAATGTTTGTTCTTTACAGTTTTCATGTTTTCTATACAAAACACTTCTGTTCTCTCAATGTTCAAGCACCCAAGCACCCAAACGTCCAAGCACCAAAGCGCCCAAACGTCCAAGCACCCAACTGTCCAAATCCAAAACGGAGCAATGAACTTCTGCAGAAGTTCACTTCAGTGGAGTAAAGTGAAGGAATACCAAAAAGACGTAAACAAAGCTTAGTTAGTATGGAAAATATTTAAAAAAAAAAATTTTATAAATTATGTTTAAACTATTGTTTTATAAATAATTGCCTTTGATTTTTTTAAATCATTATTTATAATGAAAATTTAACCTTCCTCCACTTATGGAATTTTCAAGTTTATTAACAAGCGTTGTTTAGCTTTGTGTTTGTTTACTAATTTGTTTAATTTTTAAAAATAAATTTTTTTTCTAAAAATATTATTTATTTATTTTTAAACTCTTTATAAAAAATATCTTTCCATCATTCGTCACTGAAGTTTTTAATGTGAGTTGTGTAAATAATTGTGATTGACACATTGTTCCAATTCAGTCTCACCCACGCATGGGTAATTAATTAATGTATTTATTTATTTTTATTATGATTTTTATTGAGTTTAAAGTTTCAAAAAAATTTTAAAAATGTGATTTACTTTGAAAAAACACAACGTCATCAATGTATATAATTTTATTTAAAACATTAAATGTCCCACAAATTTAAGTAATAACAAAAATTATGAAAAATAAAATGTTATGTTTATTTATAAAAATTATTTTTAAAATATAATAAAACGTTGGGTATTTTATAAAGAATTAATAAAGCACAATAATCCATATCCAGTGAAGTGTGAAAAATATGGTTTTTAGGTAAATGGTTCTAAAAAGTACTGATTTGATATAGTTAGACCTTAGGTAAAATGTAAAACTATATACAATAAATAGATGGTTTATTTATAATTTACTAGAAAGCTGAAATATATAGAATTATAAACGCTATGGACCCCATAAGATACATCAAATCCTAATGCATAAAGTGGTTGGACTACATAGTGAGAATGCTTGCTCATAGATTAGTGAGAGAGACTCATGAAAGAGTAAATACCGAGAAAAGAAGTAAGAAAGCTCCCAAAAAAAAAAGAATTTTGATTTAAAATTTACTAATTAAAAGATTCAGAAAACACGAAATTATCATATATCAATCCATGAAAAAAAATGGTTGAGGAATTATTGGTGACACCGAGAACTGTATGAAAAAATAAGAAAAAACTATCCACAATAAAGGTCAACGAGTATCAAAAAAAAAGCTTTCAACTTGTGTCTATATTCATTTTTTTTTTTTGCTAGAATGAAAACATTAGACCTTAAAGGAGTTTAAAGAATCTTAAAAATTGAAAAGCATTTGAGCGTAATAGCTTATGAGATATATTAGTTTTAAAAAATAATCATATGTCAGTTTATAGTTTTTATTAGTGACAAAACAAAATAGTTTTTCTTCAGTTATCGATTTAAGAAAAATAATACCCATCTGTAGTATTGAAATGTTTCTGAGGAATTAGATATGTTGTCGTCGACAGTATTATTTTAATGTAGAAATATAAACCATTGATGCTCTTATAAATATCATTCTAATGGAAAAAAAAACGAACTGAATACTAAAAAAGAAGAACCCCTATATTTTTTAATTAAAATTTTTTTATACTTTTTTATAAAACTAAAACTTTAATTAGTATCTGAGTTAGTATCTGAATCAGTTTTACTAAATGGTAACTGTGACCACCTAGGTCCACCATAACAAGTACTCCATTAAATTATAATAATAGTTATTCAGGTAATTTTATAGAATTATAGTTCGAGGTCTAGCATATCTTCTTGACGCAATAAATATTGCATTGGTTTTAACAAAGTGCAGTTCTGAAACAGAGTGTGAGCATCCGCTGAATAAATCAATCTCAGCATCCTGTCTTTATAGTACTTTTGCGCACTCTACACTCTAAATATATTTTCTCTATTTAAGAAAATTTTGTGAACTTAATTAAAATTAATTCTTAATATAAATTTCAATTAATTATTTTTATTTTAATAATAAGTTTTAGTTGAAAGATTCGTAGCTTCATACAAAATGAAGATACTTTTCTTCTCCAGAAAAGTATGTTGCTGTAAAAATAAAATATTTCGAAAAATAACTAAGCATACTTTTAGGCCAAACTGACTAAGTTTTGAATTTTTGCTTCATATTTCGAATTATTTTTATAATGATTTATTATTTATTGACCTATAGAATATATTTTATATTCTGAAATTGTTTTTTATTTTATCTATATTTTGAACTTTGTTTATGATACGTAACATATATGTTATGTTTCACATTTTAATCTGTTACTAATTTTATTTTATTAGCATTTAACGTATATTTTTGATGAAAAACCAAATAGTTTTTTATATAAAGTAATTTTATGTTGAAGAAGACATATTTAATTTATTTATTATTGTTTCTAAAATTGTAAATAATATTATATCTTCAAATCACAACACAACTTATATCTCAATTATTATTTTTAACTGTATAATTTAAGCTCTAATTGTAAAACATTTTTATAGCACAAATAAATTGTAATTTATTTTAGAATTGCTCAACTTTCATAAATTTACAATTAACGTTAAAAACAAAGCAAAAAAGGAGTTTAAATTAAAGTTACATTTGTAAGTGGTAACTTACCTTCTTGGCTTTGGTCGCACAATTTCATGATTAGCGTCAGTTATGCATAATGGACTCAAGGCGCCTGCTAAATGCTCAACTCCAAGACGGCCTGGATCCCAACTATGCCGACCGGGCATATTTGCAACGTTGCCACTTGAGTTATGCGAAATGTTTATATTTGTGCTGTTGTTGCAATGATTGCTGTTGCTATTGCTGATATTTTTGCTGCTGGTGTTGTGATTGTTACTGCTGTTGCTGTTGCTGGTGCTGTTGATGCCAGTGCTGCTGTTGTTATGACTGCTAATTAATTGTGCATTAAAATTTATGCTATTTACTACAACATTTGCTGTAACTGCTGCTGCTGCTGATGATGATGATGTTGCTGCTGTTGTTGTCTTTAAGGCGGTTGTTGGCAAATTGTTAATGTTGCATTTGATATTGTGGTTAATGTTGTTGTTCGTATTTTTGTTACTGTGGCTATTAATTGTAGTACGTGCTGCTGGCAATGGCACTTGTAAAATTGTTGTGGTTGTTGTTGTGGCTGCTGCTGGTGTTGGTGTTGATGTGACTGCTGCTGCTGCTGTTGCTGTTGGTAAATTTTTATTGCTGTTGTTTGTAACATTTGCTGTTACTGTTACTGTAGCTGTAGTATTTGCAGTTCCACTTATTGCTGTTAGTGTACTTAGTCCTTTTGGTGGACTATGAATTGCCACTGTCGTTGCTATGTTTGTTGTTGTTGCAGTTGCCGCCTTAACGGTTGCGGTTGTTATTGTCGTTTTTGTACGCAAATCTTGCGCTTGTGTGGTTGTTGAGCTGCTAGCAACCATCTAAACCGTTTCATTTGTACACGTTACTATGAAATGAGCTGTAAATAAATATAAATTTATTAACATTGTTCAAAAAAATGTTGATTTAATTTATGATATTTGGTATTTTATTTTGTATAAATTTATGCTCATACCAAATGAGTTCATCTAACAGTTGTTTTTGATATATATGCAACTGCATTAGTGATCCCTAAAAATTTTTTAACTCTTTTGCATAATTTTTAAGCATTTAACTTCTTTGCCGTAAAGCCATTAACTTCCAATTTAGAGAATCAGAATCAAGTTTGTCGCTTAAGTCTTTTATTTGACGACGATATCATTTGGTTTTCATTAGTGCTGCTTTGTTCAGTTTATAGGTTCTCAGGTGTTTGATTTTATTGCTTTTAAATAATTATAGAAATAGTTTGAAATTCCTTAGATGCTTTGTTGTTGGCACATTTTTCTATAGCAGACAAGTTAAAAAATTTTTTTTTCATATTTTTATCGCTGCTTCATAGAAGCTAAAAATATTTTAATTGTGTGTCAAATCGGTTTTATGTCACACCCTTTTGTTTGATTTTGATTTATGTATTTCGACATTAAGTTTTTCGTTTTTTTTTAATACCTGTTATAACTTGATTTTTCATAAACAAAAAATATATATGATATCTTAAATTTGATACCCTCTTGAAAATTCTAGATCTGAACATATGTTTTTTTTCCGTTTTCTTTTACAAAAAAATTATAACAGTTTACATGTCGCCAGTGGCTTACATATGCGAAACTGCTTTAGGTAACTTAAGCTCTTGACGTGTCACCTTCTAGTTCATTTTCTACGTAGTACTTTCCTTTGTCATTTGAAGTATAATATAAAAAATTCAAAAAAATAAATAAATAAATAATAATATTATTTCCTCAATATTTTATGTTATATGAAAATATTTGGGTTATTATTTTTACAATATTATTATTTTGATTGTACTTTATGGTTGGTTTTTTTAATGGTTGGTTTTTTTTAATTGTATGGTTGTTTTTTTTAATCTAAAATAGTTTCAACAAAATTAACAAAATAAGATATGAAGATAAAAAATCTATTAACTTTTTAATTGTTTTTTTATTTTTGACCGGAGTTAACTAAGACATAGTTAAGTCGGGTGCACACTTGCGAGGAAAACAGTCCACGTTGCATGCACGCAATGTAGTTGTAAAATACATTAGATGGCATTGCTTAAATTAACAATTTCGCCTCAAAATACTAAATTATTTTATCCTGTTCTTAGGTAGCTTAGTTAAATTATGACAAATTAAATTATTTAGAAAAATATTTTGTTTAACCTGATGTGTGCTACAGTTAAAGGTAGGTAAATAGGTATTTCTGTAACTACTTAAAATAAACTGACATATTTATCAATTTTGGAATTTAAAAGTGGAGCTGAAAGTAGTTAGTTCTAAACATACCCTAGCATTCATTGAAATAGTGACGCCAATCGACATCATAGGTGATCAGCAACAAGAATTAACAGAAAAAAAATTTAAATATCAAAGTTCACATGGTGACTAATTAAAAGATATAATTAAAATAAAATTAAAAAACAACAAACATAAGAAATGATAATTCAATGACCACATGTTTCGTGAGGCGGGTACCGCCTAGTATCTACCACATTTATCGAGTCTAGGAAATAATAATATTACGAAAGCAGCAAGATATCTAACTTAATCTACAGGCTAACTAGAAACACAAGAGAAAAATCTGCTTGACAAAATAAAAATGTTTAATGACCTAGCATTAGACTTTAATATCCCAAAATATTGTGTTAAAATCATAAAATCGCATGACAAATAAGGTCTCAAAAAATTTGAAAGAAAATAGCTAAAATTTGCCAATTGCTCAAAGATGCCACAAGACTGTACATTATTAAAAGAGTTCTGAAAAATTATCTGGGTAGTTGTCTTGGAGACAATGATATAATAATTAGTGCCTAAAATATAACCTAATTTTGTAGAATAGGGAATCTATTCACCTTCAAAAACAAATTAAGCACTATCGTAGAGAAACTAGAAAGCGTTACGGACACACATTATTAAAAACGGTTTTTTCCGACTCTTTGATGCGATTCAATTATCCAAATACTTATATGATCCCTTTGTTATTTAACACAAGCAAGAATTTTTTACTTTTTTATGATTTGCTTATATATTACTAAAGTAACGCATTTTATTTTTCTCAACATCGTTAGTTTTTGGGCATCTATGTAGCTTTTTTTGGGCTATGTTTGGAGTGTTTGTTGCATAAACACAACTTGGATTACATTCAAGTCCAAATTTGATTTTCTGAATTTTTTTCTAATCCTGCCGCAAACATGGGTTTATTTTGGTTATCATCATAGCGCTTTACAACACTGTTAATTTCATTATATTGTGCTATGGTTTGACACACTAAAGATTTGTTTACATTCGGATGCTTGGAGACTACAAAAGTCTTGTTTCCTTCCTTTCTTCTTCCTTTTAAATGTAGTCCTATCACATTATTACGTTTAAATAGAGATACATATACTATTGTATGCTTCTAAACAATCAAATTAGTTGTTGTAAGACAACATTTTTTTTGTTTTTGAAGAATTGTAAAGCAAGCGAAAGTCTAGTCAGTGTGAGACTTGAACCAATTAAAATCATCTCAATATCCGACAGTAAACCCTTTCGGGATCACCGATTTGGCATGTGTCAAGATGCCATTCAGAGCACGAAGCTTAAATGTCTTTTTTTGTCGTCATTTCGTCAATTAACAACATTTTTTCATTTCGAAAGTTATGGCAACTTTAGTGGGTTGCAGTTTAATAGGGTCACAGAGTAGTTTTGCCTGACAGTAAAATTGTTAATTATTTATAATAAAGTATTTTAATTTTTTTAACTATATAGAAATAACTTTTTGAGCCATTATCATTTAAAATGCAGTTCCAAAAAAAAAAAATGTATTTGAAAATATTTCACATTCTTCTACTTATAAAAAGAAATGTTTTTTTCAGTACAACTTTGTCTGTTATTAGTTTTATTGCCTCATAAAAAATTGTAAAAAAACTTTTTTGAACAAAACGTTGAACAGGCACATTTCCTCAATAAAATATATTAATTTATATGAATTATAAATTTTGTTGAAAAAGTGCAAGGAAAAAGATTGAAACTATCTTAACGCGCAGAACAGCAAATACTGTCAACAACAAATTTACTAACACCAAACGCAACACAAATTCAAGTGATTCGCACCGCAATTAACGCACGGCAAGTGCAGCTCACCGTACCGGCCGTACTCGTTGCAGTCATGAATTCGCATATAAACGTCATTATCACGTTCATCGGTGCGATAATCCTCAAAGTCATGTGCTGTTACTGCACTTGAAACAACTTCAACGCAAGTGCTGCTGGCTTATAAAAAACGAAATTAATGGAATTGGCTTCTGACAACGAGTCCGAGTATTCACCATTCACTATTCAATATCGGTTTGTAGGATTGAGAGCTTTGGCAGAAAGAAGTGTGCTTAATTGAGTGTTTGTGTGTTTATATTTGCAAGAAGCGGCGTGCAAGTGTCTTAAGAACTTTGGAGCCGCATTGGAATGCAACCAATGCAGTTCGGTTTCAATTGAAACTTTTATAGCGCAGGCAATTGCCTGCTTACTAGAATGTGCACATAAAGTCTATTATGACTGCCGCCGCCACAGCAGCCAATGTCGCTTAACTTGTCCATTTGTTTGACTTTGAAAGTAGGCATGAGGCATTCCATTGCATGAGTTTCATGGCATGTCTTTGGCAGATGCGACTTGAGAAGATGAACAGCACACTGGAAATTACGCACCCTCTAGCAAAAACAATAACAAAGCAAAATGTTGTTATCTTCCTGCAAACTACACAGCATTTTTCTAACGCATATGGAGCTTTACAGTTTCTTACATTTTTTTCCTAATAAGATCCATTTTCATCTAATGCGATTTGCTTTTCTCCGATGCGTCTTAATTGCACCTCCGATGCTTAATATTGTGGCTGAAATATTTATATGGTATTTTATTATTAGCCATAAATTAAAATACCTTTAGGATTCTTTGAGAATACTTCCATTTGTTAACCGTGCATTCTTCTAACAATAAAATTTTTATTAAATTATTTTTATGGTTTACAATTCTTTTGCATTACGTTATACACTTTGTTAGAACCGATAGTGTAATCCATATTTATGATACCATAATGCGTGGTGATGTATAAATCCGTTGCTGATATTTATGGTTTTGTTAACGCAGTTGACTTTATGATAAGACGCTCTTCAGCATTTTATGATTATTATTATGTTTGATCATAGGTGCAATTTTAAAGACGAGCTCAAAATACTTTTCTCGCAACAATAAAGATTATTTTTTCTAGTATTGGCAATCATCAGTATATATTGATATATATTTATAAAGAAAATGCAATGCTTAATGAATTGTTTTTTTGTTAATATAAAAATTGACGATATGCATCAGATAGGTAGGCAGTTAAATTGGAAGAAGGATCGAACTTTCCTCCATTAGTTCAGAAAATCGTTTTGATACCACTTTTCTCGTAATTTCGGTAAAAGATTGGGCGTTTTTTATACAATCAGAGAAGTAGAGAAATGGAATGGAAACAATGCAATCCTCGTAACTTTGGACAGATTGTCATGCTTTTGAATATATTAAGCCTTTTAGAATCAGAAGCATTGATAAAAGCAATAATTTGCTTAATTTTAATGTCGATTATATCGTTAAATGATTTTAAGAATGGAGTATTTATAAAATTAAGCATATTCTGGTTCTAAATAAATCTGGAAAAGTAACTGAATACATGAGCGTAGAGCACTAAGTTATTCAAAAAGTACTAGGAAACAAGTTTAATAAATTTTTCCACTAAAAAATTATTGAAGATTATTTAAATTCAGACTTAAATTTAACAAGTAGTTAAAAATGTTTATTAGAAATGATGAGGTGACAAGATTGTTTCATAAGTTCCCGAAATGAAAATGAGAAAACTGATTTTTAGTTGGAAAAATAT